GCTAGACCCAAGAAGCTCCGAACCTCGGTTACTGTTGTCGGCCTCCGCCAATTCGTGACGGCTTCAATCTTTGTCGGGTCCACCGCAATTCCTTCCCCGGATATCACGTGTCCTAAGAATACCACTCGATGAAGCCAGAATTCGCACTTACTGAACTTAGCGTAGAGTACGTGTTCCCTTAAGGTCCGTAGAACCTTTTCTAAATGTAACTCATGCTCTTCGAAACTCTTCGAATATACCAAAATGTCGTCTATGAACACGATCACAAACTGATCCAAAAATTCCTTGAATACCCGATTCATTAAATCTATAAAGGCTGTAGGGGCGTTAGTCAATCCAAACGGCATTACTGTAAACTCGCAATGTCCATACCTCGCCCTAAATGCTGACTTCGGCACGTCCTCCTTAATCCTCGATTGATGATAACCAGTCCTCAAATCGATCTTAGAAAACACTGATGCCCCTTGTAATTGGTCAAACAGGTCATCAATCCTTGGCAATGGGTACTTATTCTTAACGGTCACCTGATTCAGTTGTCTGTAGTCAATGCACAACGTCAATGATCCATCCTTCTTCTTCACGAATAACACTGGCGCTCCCCATGGAGACGCACTTGGGTGAATGAAGCCTTTATCCAATAACTCTTATATTTGGACCTTCAATTCCTTGAATTCCGACAGTGACATCCTATAAGGTGCTTTCGAGATCGATTATGTCTCTGGGGCTAACTCAATTACGAACTCCACTTCTCTATCAGATGGCAGTCCTGGCAATTCCTGGGGAAAGACATCGGGAAAATTAAACACCACAGCTATGTCCTCTAGCCTTGGCTCTCCAGCCGTCGAGTCAACTATGGACACCAGAAATCCTTGGCACCCTTCGTCTAGTAGCTTTGTTACCTCGAGCGACAAAATCCAAGGGATCGAGGTTCCTCCTCGGTTTCCCACAAATTCGAATCTAGGATGTCTAACCGGATTAAATTGGATCACCCTGCTACTACAGTCCATAACAGCTCTTTGTTTGACTGACCAATCCATTCCAACAATCACGTCAAAGTCAAACATAGCTAAAACCGTCAAATCTATCATTTCTTCTCTATCACCAATCACTATCTTACAATCAGGACATCCAAACGCAATCAGCACTTTACCATTCAGCGGAGTAGTCATACACAGCATAACGTCAAGCGATTTTGGCTCAATCCCAGATAATTTAACGAACTGTTCAGATATAAACGAATGCGATGCCCCCGAATCAAACAAAGCATATGCAGCATGATCAAAGAGAGAGACCGTACCTGTGACCATGCCAGGCGCGTCCTCAGCTTCCCTCCTTACCATTGCATACACCCGTCCTTGGGCCGACAGCCTATTCTGATTGGTCGGTTGGATAGCTCCAAATTGATTTCCATTCCAAGGCGGCGGCGGCGGTAGCACATGCGACCTAGCCTATCTGTTGTTGGGGCAGTTCCTCAACTGATGGCCCCTTCCATCACATATAAAACATGCTCCACCCCTATTCGGGTAAGGTCCGCTGCCATGCCTCCCTCCACATATTTAGCATGGGGCATTCTGAAAACGGTTTGGCTTCCCGATATTCCTCCGAATGGAAGGGACAAAACGACTATTTCCCGCCATGGGTCTTTTCCCAAATTGACGGTTGTCCCTAGCCGGGGCATACCGCGATTCAGAAGCGGCAGCTCGATCCGTTTGATCTCGCTCAATTGCCTGAGCCCTTTAAAAAATCTCATGATAGCCCCTCAAGTTCAATGAGATCGTCTGACTGCGAAGGTCCGGTTTCAGCCCGTCCCGGAACCTCCTGGCTTTGTCCACTGGGTCTTCTACCATTCTGGAGGCAAACTTGGACAGCCTTGCGAACTCAGCCTCATACTAGTCCACCGACACTTGACCCTGGCGAAGTCCCATAAATTCTGCCAGTTTCTGCTCTCGGGCGCTTTCCGAGAAGTACTTGCCATTGAAGGTCTCGGTGAAGATGGTCTAGTTCAGAGCAGTACTAGCAGGGAATACTTGACCTCTGGTGACCCTCCACCAATCACTTGCATTGCTCTGAAGCTGGTAGACTGCTAGCGTTACCTTCTCTTCCTCAGTGCACCCCAGTACTTCGAAAGCCTTTTATAGCTCTTCCACCCATTTTGGTGCAGCCTCAGAATCGCCTCTCCCATCAAACTTCGGGGGTTTTCAACCTCAGAAACTGTTCGACTAGCTTGGACATTGGCCTGCTCGCATTTACTCGCACTGGACCAGGATTTCCACCAATCATATTATTCCCCTGATTGCCATTATTTTCAATAATCTCGCTGGCAGTTGCAGTGGCGACAGTAGCGCTTCTTTCCCTCGTCTGTCTACCCAATAATAATCCCGCTTCCTCAAGCGCCCTCTAGATTTCATTCACCCTGGGATCCTCCATAACTCCAGCTTACGGGGCTACGCGACCTCGACCTCGACCTCGGCTGCTCATCTTACAAGTTCTCACAAATGCTCACCTGCTATAATTCCAAGCAGAAATTAAAAGCCTAGGCCAACAATACCAGTCTAAAGCCCTAGGCAGTGAATCACAACAACAATTCACGAAGCAGGCATCCAATCACAAACAACACCCAATCACAACTAACAGAGTTCGTGCACTTACCTCTAGTCCTGACACACCTGCACCTCACATGTCATTGCATAAAATCACTCAACAACCACAATCATGCAGTATGGGATTCGCATGGCACATGGGTCTCCCTAACTGGCTATCCCAAACTCATCGCTCCTTATCACTCAAGGTTTCGACCAACTTGGATCGAGCTGACCTTGCTCTGATACCAAATCAATTGGCGTGATGTCACGCCCAGAACTCCAACGGGCTCGCAATACCCCTTCGACGGTCGTATTGAACGTGACGTCCCAAGACGCGTTGCCGACCCAAACGAAACACGCGAAGACAAACGCAAGCGGAAGCAGAAATCAAACAACCCAGACAATTAATAATGACAATAGGGTAGTACTTGCACAAAATAATGAACTCATATCGTTAGCTTGAGACCACAAATATTCATGCATTAGGCTTCTAGGGTTAGCATCCACCTTCATCATCAAAAAGGGATAGGTGGTAGGGTAGGCTAGCTATCTGCACAAAAAGGGCTCTACTAAAAAGGGCTTCTAGGCCCAGCACCTAAACACTCTTATGGTGCTCAATCCGAATCGGACCCTGAAAGCTCCGACTCCGTATCCGAGTCGATCTCGATCGGCTTCTCCTCATGCTCGGACACCATAGGCTCCTCATCAGGCTCAGACTTGGGCTCTGGTTCTTCTAATTCTTCCTCGATCTCGAGTTCCATGGGTTCCTCCTCGGGCTCCTCGAATTCCTCTTCAAGCTCGAGGCCTGCAGGGGCTATAGGTTCAGGTACGGGCTCCGGTTCAGGACTAGGGTTTACCGGGGAATCTCCGGGGTGCAGGACCTCACCATCAAGAGCAAGAACAGCTGTGGGGTCCCACTCGCCTATCCCATTAAAAGGAACATCAAAATGCCGGAGCGGTCCATAGACTCCGTATAAATCCCGATAACAGTATGCTCGGTATGTATTGGGCTGCAACTCCGGCTTACCCACATCTACCCATACCACCATGGTATGCTTAACATAGGCCTCCCCGTTCCCTACAGGGTACTCCACCGCCGAGTGCTCAGTATGCCTCGGGATCCCAAAACGTTCAGGCGGATCACTCATGGTCGGGGTGGGGGTTATGAAATGGTTTGCATTACAGCAATGAGAATAACTCTCAATAAGTAGACAACCTATACCCCACCTAGGCCAATACGTACCCGGACGAGTCTAACATACGATCTAACAGGCAACAAACTAGAATTCACAAAAATGTACTTACCTTGCCTCAATTCACATACCAACCCTGCATATTAATCCAATTACTATAATGCAATAAAATTACATGAACATATCAAAGTCATACAAGCACCATACTCACGTGCGTTCACCCAATTCAATCGAGCACATTCCACATGCATGTCTAGCCAACTTTCCACGACCCGCGTCAACATGCCTCAGGCCAGCCTTCTGATCAGTCCGGGCTCTGTCCCTCACTGGACATTTCACACTTTCTCATGACCCATGTAAACACGCCTCAAGTCAGCCCTCCAATCAATCCGGGCTCAGTCCTACGTAACCACGCCTCAGGACATTTCTCTCGACCCGCGTAACCACGACTCAGGTGGGCAGCCCTTCGATCAATCCGGGCTCCGTCCCTCACTGGACATTTCACACTTTCTCACGACCCGCGTAAACACGCCTCAGGTTAGCCCTCCGATCGATCCAGGCTTAGTCTCGCGTAACCACACCTCAGGACATTCCTTATGCACATGCACCACAACACAATTTACCATCATAACCCGTCGTACTATTCAAATTCAAATCACGAACTCACCACACTAGCCCACTAATCCGACACTCAAGTCGGTCCAATCAAACGTCAATTTCACCCACAAACACCACGACAATCCGTTCATCGCACCCACATATATCAGTCACTAATTAAGCCCCACAATCATCACAATTTAATCTACCAATTAACCACATTCACATATTGATCCTAATCCAAGCTTAGCCACTAAACCGGTACTAATTAACTCCTAAATAAGTCTAAAAATACCCAAAGTACTAGGTAGGGTTTAGGGAGTCACTTACCTAAATTTGGCCCGGGAAAAATCGACACGGGCCCAAAATGACCCGGGTGAACAGCGGCAACTCGGCGCGGGCGAGGGCGCGACTGGCGCGGTGGCCGGCAAGGCGTTCGGCCACGGCCGGGGCGCTCGGTACGGCGCTCGGCCAAGACTGGGCACACGGCCTAGGCGACTCGGCCACGGGCAAGGGCAGCGGGAAAGCGGCCAGGACGCGCGAGCAACGGGCTCGGCCACGATCGGACGAGTGGCTAGGCCATGGGCAAGTGGCTGGGCAGCTCGGCCACGGCCTGGGTAGTCCAGCCATGACTGGGCGAGCGACTGGGCGCGTTGACTGGCCGGGCTACATAGCGGTAGCGACGAGCTACAGCGGCGGCGGCGAGCTGTTGGTGGGCAGGCAAGCTGGGCTCGCCGCGGCGACGAGCGACGGCGATTGGCTTGGCCAAGGCAGCGGCGACGGCGGCTTGGGGGGGAAAAGTTGGGGCGGTGGTGGCGAGAGAGGGAGAGCTGGGGCTGAGGCGGCAAGCCGACAGCGGTCGGGGCGGCACGGTGGTGTCGCAGGTGGCGGGGCGAGGCTGGACGAGCTGGTCGGCGGCTCGGCGAAGCCTGGCTGTGGCGGACGCGGCGGTGAGCTACTGCTGTGCGCAAACGGCCTCCGGTGGCTGTGTGTACGACGGCGTGAGGCGGACGGACGGCGGGCAGCGCGGCGTTCGGGCGAGCTGGCACACGGTCGGGCTGGCTAGCGATGGCAGTGGCGCGCGGTGGCCGGGCGGCGATGAGTGGTGGTCGAGCTGCAGAAGAAGAAGAAGCAGAAGCTACGGCGCCGGGGAAGAGAAGGAAGAGAAGATGAAGAAGAGAAAAAAGGAAAAGAGAGAGAGGAGGGATATGTCTGTGTATGCAGGGGGAAGGGACGTGCATCGGGGGAGAAAGAAGGGACGGGCGCAATGGGGAGAGAGAGAGAGAGAGAGAGAGAGAGAGAGAGAGAGAGAGAGAGAGAGAGAGAGAGAGAGAGGAGGGATATGTCTGTGTATGCAGGGGGAAGGGACGTGCATCGGGGGAGAAAGAAGGGACGGGCGCAATGGGGAGAGAGAGAGAGAGAGAGAGAGAGAGAGAGAGGAGGGATATGTCTGTGTATGCAGGGGGAAGGGACGTGCATCGGGGGAGAAAGAAGGGACGGGCGCAATGGGGAGAGAGAGAGAGAGAGAGAGAGAGAGAGAGAGAGAGAGAGAGAGAGAGAGACAAAAGTCAAATTTTGTGCTCGAGTACGATCCGACGGTCCTCGTTCAAATCCGAAAATGATCCAACGATCCACGAAAACCCTAATTATAAATTAGGAAAAAGGGCAAAAAGATATTAATTAAAATACACTACGAGGGAGGTCTACTAGTCTAAATCCGCACCCGGTCAAAATTTCACTTTTCACATATCTCGGGTAATATTGAGATTGGCCACAATAATATCGGTACCGTCCAATTAAATTTATCACGAAACTCCCAGAAATTCGACACCAAAGTTCGGGCTCTAAATAACGGCCAAATTCGATCGAATGCGATTCTAGCGAAATCTCTAATTTAAAAATAACTCAAGAGTGATCAGTTCCGGGCGAGATTTTATTATAAGCGCACTGACGAAATACACGTTTTATAAATCCCAAAAATGGGTCGAAATTCGAAATGTCACAATCTGTCCATATAAAATTGCCCGTGATGTACGTGAATGTATTTTTCTATGAAGGTCCGATGCGTGTAATCATCATTTCAAATTTAAGATAAATAAAACATTCCATTCATGTATTACTTTTTTTAATTAAGTAAATTATGTTATATATAGGTTAGTTCGATTAAAACTTTAAGGGAAAAATAGTAAATACTCTTTTTGTGAGATTTTCTCGTTGGACAAAGAGTTCAAACCAAACATTTCTAATGGGTGTGTGGGTCCTTATGGTAGTGCCCCGAGAGGGTGACATAAAATATTTCCTTCTTTGCCCTCCTTTTAAAGTATTGTCTTTCTCACTAATGACAATTCATTTCCCTTTGAACAAAAATGACATGCTATTAACTTGCATTTGCATTTGATCATTTGCTAAATTATTCCAATATATTCCTTATCTATTATGTAATTGATAACTTCACATTTTTTTATTCTAAAGCTCTAACTTAATAATTAATGTTCTCAAACTAAAATATATGTGCTATAGAAGCCCTAAGCGTTTTGTGTTGATTGAGTCTTAAACATGCCATTTAGTCAATTGACTCTTAAGCCTTTTATGAAAATGTGCAATTGAGTTCTAATCTCCTGCTGGTGATATTTTCTCATCGTAAATTATGTCCTTTTAGTATTTCACAAAATTAAGCATCATGTTGGCAATAATTAAGGAATAAAACTCGTAAGTTTTGTTTAAAGTTGAGTGAGAAACTTGACAGTGACAAAAGTCGAATAAAAAAATTTCACGACTTTATGCGACTCAATAAAAAATCAAAATCACAAACTTTGGGTTTTTCCTATCTGTTGAGTTTAAGTTTAGGCTTTGTTTTTTAATTGGTTTCCATAATCAAGTTCTTTACTCAATGATCGATAACATGCATATGCTTTATTTCTGATTATGGTTAAAATAATGATTCATTTTAGAATACTTTAAAAGACCGGCAACGATATCAGTACTTGATTGCATCGTTGTCAAAACATCTAGAACTCAATTAACTAAAATAAAACATTTAGGACTTAATTAATCAATCATCAATACATAAGAACTTCTGTTACACTTACTCTCACACAACTAGTGTGATTAACTAAAAGAAAAAGAGTAACTCTTCACATGTACCATGTGTAATCGTATCTATTGCAATTTCCCTGTTTCTTTTGTTATTACCTTATTAGATAACGTTAAAAAATACACATAAATTGAGTTAACGAAAACTATAGTTTCAATTTCTATTTCACTATAGGAGCACGTTCGAAAAGGCTATAAATGACATAATTCTTAGCCCAGTGTCATGCACTTGTCATAAACGTGAAATATGCATGCTTTCAAATATGCATACATGCAAAATGCATGCTTGGACCATCAATCATTAACTTAAGGCATCATTCCATGCAAATAACATTATATCAAGTATAATAATCGAGTTTAATAACGAGGATAGAGATGTCAGAGTAGTATCTAATAGATATCATTTTGAAAGACTTATGGATAAGACAAAGGGCCCTGGGAAGTCTCCTTCATCGGATTGCGTTTTTTCTTGGAAGGGCCGGAGAATTCCCCACAATAAAAAATCGTTCCATCACCATCTCTAATTGAATACACTCCAAAAGACATAATATATAATTTCAATTGATTCCACTTCACATTCTAATTCGTGGTAAGTCTCCTTCGTCGTGTTGCGATTTTTTTTGGAAGGGCGCATGAAATTAAAAATTATTCTATCATGCCAAAAAGCAAATATATAATTTGAGTTGATCCCACGTCATGTTCCCCTTGATTGATTAGTAACATCAAAGACAAGAGATAAAAGATATCATCACCCTTTATTTGATGCTGTCTGGGCCAGATTTGTGATATTCCGAATTTCGATCCATTTTTGGGATTTATAAAACATGTATTTCGTCAGTGCGCTTATAATTAAATCTCGCCCAGAACTGATCATTCTCGGGTTATTTTAAATTTGAGATTTCGCTAGAATCGCACTCGATCTAATTTGGCCGTTATTTAGAGTCCGAACTTTGGTGTTGAATTTCTTGGAATTTCGTGCCGAATTTAATTGGATGGTGTCGATATTATTGTGGCCAGCGTCGATATTGCCCCGAATTGGTGAAAAGTGAAATTTGGACCGGGTGCGGATTTAAACTAGTAGACCTCTCTCTTAGTGTATTTTATTTAGTATCTTTTGGACTTTTCTTAATTTGAAAATTGGAATTTTCGTGGCCATTGGATCAAGCTCGCGAGATCGTTTTGTGGCCATTGGATTGCACTCAAGTGTAATGTTGACTTTCTCTCTCTCTCACGCTCACGTCCCCTTTCTCTCTCTCCCGCACATCCCTTCCCCCTCACACTCACGTCCCCCCTCTCTCTCTCTCTCTCTCTCTCTCTCTCTCTCTCTCTCTCTCTCTCTCTCTCTCTCTCTCTCTCCTCCTTCTTCTCCTTCTTTTTCTTTTTCTTTCTTTCTTCTTTCTTCTTCTTCTTCCTTCTTTCCCTGTCCACTGCTCTTGCTCCCCACTGCTCGACCGCCGCATGCGCCTAGCCGCAGCTCACTGGGCCGAGCTCGTCGCCGCCTAGCAGCCACATGCCGTCATCTCGCGACCACCGCTCGCCAGGACCATCCCAGCCACCGCCCCAGCTCCCCCTCTCGCCCATCGCTGCCTCGGCTGCCCGTCGCCATCGCCGGCCACCAACCCAGCTCAACTGGCCGAGCCCGTCGCTGCCACCGTCACCGTCGTCGCCAGCTCGCCATCGCTGTCCGACCTCCGCCCCAGCTTGCCTGCCGTGTCGCCTAACCGCTGCTCGAGCCGTGGCCGAGCTCGCCGGCCGCCTGCCTAGGCCGTGACCGAGCTCGCCGGCCGTTGTCCCGGCCATGGCCGAGCCATCCCAGCCGTGCCCGTGCCGTGCCCAACCGCTCGCCCGCGTGCCTGGCCGCTTGCCCGGCCGTGGCCGAGAGTCTCGGGCTGTGCCGAGCCATGGCCGGCCACTGTGCCCATTACGCCCGTGCCGTGCTGAGTCGCCACTGTTCCACCGGGCCATATTGGCCCCTTGTCGATTTTTCTTGAGCCAAAATTTAAGTAACTCCCTAAATCTTATCTAATATAATGGGTATTATTAGACTTGTTTAGGGATCGATTAGTGTCGGTTTGATGGCTAAGTTAGGGCCTAATTTGAGGATTCAATGTGGCTAGTTTTTAGATTAAATTGTGGTGATTTTTGGGGGTCAATTGGTGATTGTTCATGGCTGGTTTGTTGTGGCATTTGTGAGTGAAATTCTAGGCTCGAGAATGATCGACCATGTTGGTTTGTGGGCTAAATGTGGCCGGCTTGAATGCCAGAATTGTGAGCTATGGTACTGAGTTCATGACTTGGAATTGGGCACTTGAAATGTGTTATAATGATGGTTGTGCAATGTGGCTAAATTGCGATACTTTGAGGAATGAATTTGATACTTGCATGGATTGATTGGAACGAGTGGCGATTGAGCATAGTATGGAGTTATTTGACTATGTGATTGACGTGAAATTGATTGAATTAAATGGCATGTGTGTTTGCTTGACCAAGCCCGGATTGATCGAAGGGCTGCCAACCTATGGGGTGTTGACCCGGGTTGTGAGAAAGGACCTGTGGGGTGTTGACCTGGGTCGTGAGAAGGGTTCTGAGGTGTGTTGACGCGGGACAAAGCCCGGATTGATCGGAGGGCTGCCAGTATGAAGTGTGTTCACGCGAGTGGCGAGAAAGGACCTGTAGGGTGTTAACCCGGGTCGTGAGAAAGTTGGATGAATGCACACGTGTAATATACTTAATTGAATTGGGTGAACGTACGTGTGTATGGTGCTCGAGTGATTGTGATATGTTCTTGGAATATTATTGCTTATAGTGATTGGACTAATATGCAGAGTTGGCGTGTTTTCTAAAGCGAGGTAAGTATGTTTATGTGAATTCTAGTATGTCACTTGTTAGATTGCATGTTGAGACTTGTCTGGCTACGCATCGGCCTAGGTGGGGTTTAGGTTGTCTGCTTATTGAGATTTATTCTCATTGCTA